GGGGGAGGGCAGGTATGGGGGGACCCCAGCGAGGGGCTGCAGGGTCCATCCCGAACCCCTGGGTGCTCTCAGGTGACCCCAAACCCCCTCCCCGGGCCCTGGGGGGCTCTGGGGGGGCTCGGGGGGTTTGGGGGTCCCCACGCTGACCCCCCGGTCCCCGGTGTCCCCCCAGAACACGGACGATCTGCTGGTGGCCTCGGCCGAGTGTCCGAGCGATGACGAGGACCTGGAGGAGTGTGAGCCGGGCACAGGTGGGTGCTGCTCCGGGGCCCCGGGCACGCGTGTGTGGCACAGCCTCGCACACGCGTGTGGCACGGCCTCGCACACGCGTGTGGCACGGCCGCAGAGCCCGGGGCTCTCCCCCACCCCCCCAGCGGGGCTGAGACCCCCGCACAGGTGTGGCGGTGTGCACACGCACAGGTGTTGGGGCCGAGGGTGTTGCACACGCGTGTGAGCAGGGAACGTGCCAGGCTGCTCACGGCAGGGGGACACGCGGGGATGGGAGCTGCTCACACACCTGGACAGGTGCACAAACACATACCTGGACAGGTGTGCACACACAGACACACACACACACCTGGACAGGTGCACACACACACACACATACACACCTGGACAGGTGTGCACACACGCCTGTACTGTTCACACACACCTGCACAGGTGTGGACAAACACACACACACACACACACCTGAACTGTTCCCCCACACACACTTGTATAGGTGTGCACACACAGACACACACACACACACCTGAACTGTTCACAAACACACCTGTATAGGTGTGCACATACACACACAGACACACCTGCACAGGTGTGCACACACACCTGTATAGGTGTGCACATCTGAACTGTGCACACACAACACCTGGACAGGAGCTGCTCACACAGGCACAGGTGTGCACACACGCCTGAACTCACACTCACACTCACACCTGCCCCACAAATGCAGCCGCCCCGCACACCCAGGTGCCCCCCCTGCACACCCAGGTGCCCCTTTTTGCACACCCAGGTGCCCCCCTTGCACACACACTCCCACCTGTGGCCCCGCCCCCAACATGCACAGGTGTTCCCGCCCATTCCGAGCACACACCTGAGCCCGGGGCCATGCAAGCCCCGCCCCCATCCCTCCTTCCCCTGACGGACGGACACTCGGACATTCGGACACTCGGACGGACAGGGAGGACCCCCCGGTCTGGGGTCACCCCGTGTGACACCGTCACACCTGCGCTGTCACACCTGCGCTGCCACCTGGACCTCAGCAAGGAGCCTCCCCCACCCCAGTGTCACACGGTGACACCCCCCAGACACCCCGGGTGTCACCTGGACGCTGGAGAACCCCCAGACACCTGGGGCCTCACCTGGCACCCACAGGTGTCACCTGCACACCCAGGGGTGTCCCGCACTGGCTCCCACAGGTGTCACCCGGGGGTGTCCCCCACAGGTGTCCCCAGGACACTCTGGTCCCCCAGGACCCCACCTGTGGGGGAGGGGGCAGCAGCGGTCAGGGGAAGGGGGGAGGAGCGGGGGACGGACAGACGGACGGAGGACGGACACTGGATGGACACTGGATGGACACTGGATGGACAATGGA